CTCAGAATCTGCGCCGCCGCACTGGTCCCCGACGCTTTCTGCGCCATTTTTAATAAGGTCCACGCCCTAAGTTCGGTGGAAGGAAAGTCGGCCTGTGAGACACCCCAGCTCCCAGCCCTCCCCGCACAGGTCTTAAGGGATGCGATTTGCCGGAGAAACGTTTGTATTGTTGTGGCAGCTGCGCTGCGAGGGCCTAGGAGTTTAATAATTGCCTGTTAAATGGATGAGTGAATTAATTTCTGCTACGATACTTTCACACTCGTCTCCTGACTCCTCCCAGCAGCACTTGAGTCAGGTACGGATCATTCCCATTTTGCAGTGGAGAAACCTAGAGGCTAAAGCCGGCCTGTGAAAGATTGCTGAGCATCATCCAGCCAGAGATCCTGGGCTCGAGGTCTGCTTGAGCTAAAAGAGACCAAGGCATCGACTGTATCTTTATTCGTAATGCATGGTTTACTGGATATCCAATCCAGTCTAGTGTGCTTAGGACTGCTGTACCCAGACCCAGCTCCTTCTCCTGGAGTAACGTGGAACGTGGACCGTTAAATATATAATTACAACCAGTGTGATAAAAATGACATGACTGGGGCACGTGCTAGTTCAGCGTTCCAAAAAAGTGGTATGTGCAAGAAAGGATTTTGAGTGGCACACAAAAGAACATTAAAATTTTTTAATTTAAATAGGATTTCCCCCCTCCTATTTCTTGGGAATATATAATACGTATACAAGGTACAAATTAAAAAAAGTTTTGAGTGCTGTCTGCCTCATGTTTGGTCCAGTGACGTTCTGAAATGGTTATATGTGTAGTTTTGCTATAGATATCACCAACAGGAACAGAGTCCTGACATTGACTTCCTGAAGAACTAAATGGAAAGCCCTGTATCCTTAACTATGGATAACATAAATAAAAAATAGTACACCATCTCATTATAGGAATTAGTGCCACTATCAAAGATTTGAAAGATGTAGAGTATTTCTCATCATATCATCATTGTTTCTTCAGTTTGGCCAATATAGAAGAGAGAAAGCCTTAGAGAATGAAAGGGGAGAGGTCAGGGATGAAGGGTGCTCCCCTAGCATGTAGGAAGCACTGGATTCAATCCCCAGCACTGGGGGAAGGGGGTGGGAGAACAATGTTGTGATAAACTTACTCTGGTAAGGACTTCAGTTGTAGGTATTCTTCCAGATATGGTCCTTCTTGGAGCAGATTGGCACAGTTATTGACTTTTAACAGTCAACCAGAGAGTCAATGCTTACTTTTGTATAGAGCAGTAACCCCTTATCCTTCAGATTAAGTCCAAGACCTCCAGTGGATACCTGAACTGAGGATAGTACCAAGCGTGCACTCTCTCTCTCTCTCTCTCTCTCTCTCTCTCTCTCTCTCTCTCTCACTACACACACACACACACACTATATTTTTTCCTATACATATGTACATACCTATGATAAAGGTATGGCCTAGGAGTTTAATAATTGCCCATTAAATAGTACAAATTAGGTACAGTAACAGTAACAGAAATAATATAGCCATATACTATAATCAAATTGCCAGCATCACTACTCCTGTGCTTTGGGGCCTTTATTAAGTAAGATAAGGATGACTTGAACACCAGCACTGTGATACCATGGCAATAGATCTCAGACCAAATGCCTACTAAGTGACTAACAGGCAGGTAGTGTATAAAGCATGAATATACTGAACAAAGGGATGATTCACATCCTGGGCAAGACAGTGCAGGGTGGTGTAAGATTTCATGTTACTCAGAACGCTCATAATTTAAAATTTTATTTCTGCAGTTTTCCATTTAATATTTCTGGACCATGGTTGACTTTGGGTAACTGAAACTGTGGGTAGTGAAGCATGTGGTATGGAGGGACTACTGTAACAAACATCAGTAATAATCTGCTTTCATCTGACAGGGGCAGCAGTAGACCTTCATTTTATGTTTCTGGGCTATGTCACTCTCTGGATACACTTGGTTTGCCAGGATTTTTGACCAAATCACCTTTCCAATGGCTCTGTGGCCAATCTGCCATGCCTTTGGTGATGTCATCCTGATGGAACTTGAGAACAGAATGTAACAGATTTCTAGATGACTTGGTGAGGCATGATGTGTGTGCCAGAGGATGGATAATAAATCCCACAAATAAATGTACAGGTATTGTGGGGCTGCTAGCACCCTGCCATGGCAGTTTCCTGCTCAGGAGATAATAAGATACCTGAGAAAAATAAAGTCTGAAAATAGTGAAGGAGTAAGAGACAGATCCAGGAATTAGATAAAGAGAAAGCAGAGGTCTGATAGGTCCAGTCCACATAGGAGCTGGACCTGAGCAACTAGAAAATGGCTCTGGTCTTTTATTTAAGGGAGAGTACATCAAAGGCAGGGATAGTGTTTCAGTGAGTGAAGTCTTGCTTCATGGTGTCTTGCAGTTGATTGGCATCTTGGCAAGCCACACCCATCTCTGAGAGGCTGTGTGTCTGTGTGGCTCTAGTGGGTCAACCCAACTCCAGTGCAGTGCTGAACCTGGCAGAGCTGGGTAGAATATCACATGTATTGGGCAGTCTCACCAGCAGGAGTGCTACTGGGAGTTCCCATATACCAGACTCTCCTACCCACTGGCTTCCATGCTGATTGGGTTCACTCATATTTCATGGGTGACTTCCAACATACAGGGATCTGTCTACTTAGTGAACCATTTAGAAGTCTTGGGTGTTGTATTGGTTCATTTTCTGTTATTATAGTGAAATACCTGAGGTCAGTAACTTATAAAGAAAAGAGGCTTATTTAGCTCATAGTTCTGAAAGTTCAGGGGCATGGTACCAGTATCAACTCAGCTCTGGTGAAGCCCTCATGGTGAATGGCACCACGAATGCAGAAGTATATGCAGAATGAAGAGATTACATGGCAAGATAGTGTTATTGTCGGGCTGGGATTGTGGCTCAGTGGTAGAGCACTCACCTAGCATGTGTGAGGCCCTGGGTTCGATCTTCAGCACCACATAAAAATAAATAAATAAATAAAGGTTTTAAAAAAAGATAGTGTTATTGTCTAGGGATGCTGGGTTGTTTCTGTTCAGCAAAGAAATGAAGAACAGGACACATAGGTAGCAAGCAAGCAGCAGGTTTATTGTAAAAGTGATAGAAACAGACTTTTTCAAAGAGAAGGGGCCTCAGAGCTGGGATTTCCTCATTTCCTTATCTTTCTCCCTGTCCATGCTTTCTGTTATTGATTGGTGTCCCCTCCACCCATTTTAGTGCTTATGAGCACAAATATGGAAGTGTCTTTCTGATTGGGTCCCCCTACTTGTGTTCACAAGCACTTTTGTCCAGCAGGAAGTTGACCTCATCAGAAGACCCTCTCCATGCTCCTTTGTTCTGGCCCTGCCCCTGACCTCCTCATTCTCCATCTTGCCCTGGCTGCCTGAGCCACCCTTCTATGTCTCCCTCAATAGGAAGACAGAGAATTGGGAGAAGCCAGTCTTGCAAACTTCCCCTAGGCCACCACCTCTTGAATATCTCACCACCTCTTAACATAACCACAAGGGCACAGCTTCCAACACATGAACCCTGAGGGACATATTCAAACCATAGCAGATGTGTCGAGATATTCTTTACAAAGTGAAAGACAAGTACTGAACGTTATATTCCCTACCTCTAAGAAGGATGTACAATACTTCACAGGCAGCTTTATACTTGGGAGATAACATTTCAGTTACATTATTTTGGCCAGTTACTGGACCACTTGAAAGCTGCCAACTTTAGTGGGGAGAACATACAAGGAGAAACTCTTGCCTGTGACCTGCACGGGCGAGACAGACTGCGTTTAAATGGGCTGGCTGCAACATTAAGCTAAGAAGGCGTGAAAAATTACACAACACAGACATTTGACCTTAAAGGTCAGCTTCCACTCTGGAAAGAGAACGCTGGTTAAAGAGACCTGTGAGCCCGCGGTTTCTTTATTTTATAGTGGGGACATCAGAGAGGGATAAGGTTTCAAGGGTAGAGTCTTGCTGGAGATGTCTCTGTGACATCTCTTTGACTGACATCTTGGCAAGTCACACCAATCTCAGGTGCTGGGTGGGATCTTAGGCAGAGCTAGAGGGGGATGGCGCACCTGCATCATGTGATCAATCCCTGACTGGGAGTTCACAGTGCCAGGCCTGTCCCCTCAAGAGGCTACTATGCACAGTGGTTCACACACAAAGCCCATGGACAGCTTCTGACATTTTCTTACTGGACCAGATAACATTTTCTTACTGAACCAGGCTGCATAATAAATAGTTTTACCTTTTGCCTTTGTACTCAAGCTTTGGCTTTTGGAGCAAAGTAAAGCATTCCTTTAGCAAACAATCGTTCTTTTTCTGAGAAACAGCTTCTTGCTTACTCCAGGGATCTGGTGAAATTGGATGCCTGACCATAGCAGACATACCAGGTAATCATGTGACCTAAGCTTAGTGTTCTGATCTACCCAGCCATAACAGTAAGGGTGGCCGGCAGCACTCCATCATCAAAAGGAAGTGACATATAGGGATTAGGTCCAGGCAAGTCCTAAGGCACAAGTAGATTGTCTGAGAAAGTTGCTCACATTCACCTCTTGCCACTCT